GCCAAAAAGAGTTAAGATGTGTAGAGCTTACCTTGCAACTTGAGACGGCCAATATATTGGATATTTTTTGCAGACCGGGTGGAAGCTGTCCAGCTAAAGCAGGTCCTACTGGTTGGGCTGACATTTTCACATTAACCTTTTTCACCCAGGGAATTGCAGCAACCACCTCATTAGCCCTTTGCTCAAACTGCAGGTAAACGAAAGCAACTGAATTTCCTATGCCGAATTGATTATTACTGAGGTTTGGTGCATAAAGACCATAAAAACTGGATTTTGAAAGAGGAATCTACAAATAATACTTCCTGCATCCCTGTAGACTTTACACACTCTTTAATAAAGTGGAAAGTGTGGTTGAGATTTATTTAGAAGAGAAACAATATCAACCATTTAATCATTTCCTTAAAAGGAAATAGGAGATCATTTAAGGGATGAACAAGATTTACTCTATAATAAAAGGGATTTTAGAGATGAAAGAGAAGCTAAGGTTCATTGTGGGTAAAAAAACAAAACAATATACAACAAAATAGAAAACCTTGTTATAATGTTATGTACCACTTGATACACACATCAATTCTTGATCAAACAACAGTGTTTGTGTTTCATTTACCATGTCCTTGATTGGACATGCTGGAGTCGTAAGCTCTAGCCGAAAGTGAACCTGCAGGTCAATAATGTTAGAGAAGAACTCAAAGTTTAAAATGGGATATGGATCAACATAAGCATGTGTTTAGGATAACCTTTCCAAGAACCTCATCAACATGGAGATCCTTTACAAACCCACATGAGACAATATCAGTTCCAAAATCTGGATCAATTATACGTGCAAGGGCTTTTAGTACTTCATCCTCAGCAGTTTGATTTAATACCATAGATGCCCTAGCTGCAATTCCCCATGTTAAGTTCAATTCAATGACAAGAACTCGTGGATAGTCATATATTTTCATTTGTCTAGCCATTCCAAATCAGTCGAATAGAAAGATATAAACCAATATATAAGGCATGTGACTATTACTCATATCAGCATGACCTTTTAGGATGGAATTTCAAGTCTTAATACGGCATGAGAGACCACTAAGCGCAAGCAAAAAAAATTGATACCCGTAAAATTCAATAACAAGCATACAGAGTGATACAGGTATACACTAACATATAAGACTTTGGGCTGTGCTCCTCTTACCAGGTTGACTTTATAGGAGACCAATGACAATATAATGGCTGATATATAAATATAATCATGAATTCAGCAAAATAAACTATCAACAAAAAAGGATCAGTATGAGATCATATAAGACCTAGCAGAAATACTTTTCAAAGTTTTCAGAAAATAGAAAAATAATAGAAATTTTTTCCTTTTGAATATAGATTTTCAAGCATGATGAAATTTACTGCTCATTGATCTCTTCACACTCCAATTTAAGCAGTAAATTGAAAGCAATGGCAGCATCTTCCAACACTTATTTTCACCATGGAATTATAACACACTCTTACTGGTAGAGCTTTTTTGCAAAAAATCTGGGGTTGCATTGATATGGACTGATTTCATTGTCCCACACCAGTTAAATGGGGGACTTGGTGATGGGTTTATATAGCCAAGGGTTTTTCCACCTTAACAGCTAGCTTTTAGGGTGTGACTCTCCCTTGTGCTGTATCAATGGTATCAAAGCCAACTCGGAGTGGTGGCCTTGAAACCAGCCGTGACCAACGTGGCCGTGACCAACGTAGCCGTGACCAACGTGGCCGTGACCAACGTAGCCGTGACCAACGAGGACGTTGGGCCTTATGGGGGTTCAAATGATACGGACTGATTTCATTGTCATACACCGGTTAAATGGGAGACTTCGTGATGGGTTTATATAGCCAAGGGTTCTCCCACCTTAACAGCTAGCTTTTACGGTGTGCCTCTCTCTTGTGCTGTATCATGCATACAGCATAACAAAAAATCATGGGTAAAAAGAAGAAATTTACCATTCACAGAACCAGCTTTAGGGGTCAAAATTGAATGCGTGGAGGGCACATTCAAATGCCTCGAGTTTTTCAGGGGATTGAAAGGGAAATTGTAGAAAAGGCAGCATTTTTCAGCTAGATTAAATCCTGAAAGGCGGAAAAGAAAGTAAAATGGCATCAAACAAGCCATACAAACAGGTAAAAATGTGTGTGCGTGGCTGGAAAGGTACCTGCTTTGGGCAGTGAATGGAGATGATTCAAGGTAAGAGCAGCAGAAGAAGATGGAGCTTGAAGAAGTGGCATTTCCTCCTTCAATCTGTCACTGCGTGCAGTGGTATGGGATTTTGGAGCTGTGCTGCAAGCAAGAATGTTTTCAAAGGGATGTTTTGAGAGCCTCTCGTTTTGGATCCCGCGTGGACCGGTTAAGATGGGGCGGGCATTCTTGGCCACGATTCTTTCTTTAGGATTTGTGTTTTGTCAAAAGAAGTTCTCCTTGGGGATGGCCGAAACTCTCTTTTGAAGGGAATTCAAAGTTGACCGAATCCAAAATAATCCGCTAAAATGGGTCAAAATCAACCGAAGTTAATCTGATCGATCCGCTAAAGTAAGAATTTTTTAAAATCATACACTTTATTACTCGTTTTTAATATATAAATTTATATTTTTAGACAAAATTTTAATGACATTGCATAATTATCTTACTTTTTTTCTAAAACTTAAGCATTTTTTCAATTCCTTATATTGATTTATATATCTAAAAAAAATTTCAGGATTTAAAATAGAATAATCTTATAGATTTAATACATATTTTTTGATATTTTAAATTTATTTAATAGAAAATGTAAGTGTTAATGCGAATTTAAAATTTTAAAAAACCAAAGTCATAACTCGTTGGGTCGATCCGAATCCGATGACACTGGGTCATGAACATACAATTCTCAATCTGAACCCGAATTAACCCGAACTCGAAGCGACCAAACCCGAATCCGACCTGACAGACCGATTTGCTAGCTCTAACAATTGAAATAAACTAATCAAACTAAACTAAAAAAGATGAACTATGCTAGGATAATCCCAAAGCACAGACCACACAGATTTTCTTGTCTGCTTCCAAACAATAAAATTTTGTATCGCCTGCGAAGTATGAAGTCATACTTGGGATCATTCTTTTGAAGTTACCTTAGCTTTATTGAAAATTGATATGGAGTATTCTGGTTCGTACTAACATCAAATTATTTAGTCCGTGTTTTGATTTGGTATTAGGAGTGAGTCATGGAATCCAATTTTTGTAATTGAATTTACTTACATCAAACGATAATTTTCTTAGGTGTTGTTAACGAGTTAGGTAGTGCGGTATGCACGCTCGTTAAACAATATTATTAATTACGTAGTGGGGTGTAGGGGGCAGACCCTGGCAGATATGTGCTGAAATTTTTTATTTTGGACATTATTATTTTACGGAAATTCTTTAGATTTTCGTTAATGAAGTTTAAAATAGTGTACATTCAAATGTAATATTTATATCCAGCATTTTTTACGAAAAGGCCTGATACATTCGAATGTTTGAACCTAAACATTCAAAAGTTTCGCGATAAGACGTGACAGTTCAAGCAGAAAAACGCTAAAATAATATGTTTAACATAACTACTCCATACATTTGAATGTTCTGGGCAAACATTTGAATGTTCTACATAAAGTTGTGTGGTTTCTTCAACAGACTCCGATCAGTTTGTGCTCTATAAATATGGAGCCCTAGGGTATGTTTGAGTAACGACAGAGGTTCCATGCTCGTTCTAGATACTAATGTCTTATCTTATTGAAGTATTTTGATATACCCCGAAATAACTTTAATATGAATGCGATCATGCGCTTTGTTTATTCAATCAAGATTCTTCAACGTTCAAGCATATACTGTTCTACATAACGGTGCTACGCATCGTTGTCACCCCTCCTAAATTTCCAACATATTCTTCTTAGGCAGGCAAATATCCTCCCAAGCAACCAAAAGAATCTTCTTGTATTCATGGGAGGAACCCCAAAGGATGTTTCTCCAAAGAGCTTGAGTTCATAACTCTTTGATTCATTCTTATCATTTTTTTCAAATAATTATCTAACCAGTTCATTTTTACTTTTCATTGTTTTATACTTTTGAAATGATCATAACTTTAAATTCTCAAGTTTGATTCTTTCATAAGATATACCATTAGAATTTTCATTTCGAGACTTATCCATAAAATGCATTTCAATTATTTACCACATTTCAGTTTTTAAATTTTGCGGAGAGACAGTAGGAGTGATCTAGTTTTAACTTATTTCAGTTTTTTTGTTAGTTATGAACTCATACTAAAAAAATTTCTCGGTTTAAAATGCTACGTATTAAGGTGAATGGGCATTCCGAAGTAACAGTTAAAGATAGGAAATTTCTTGTATTTTTGAAGTATTAATGTAAACTTGCATATTTTGTGAAGTATCCATGTGAATTCTGTTTTTTTGGCAGAATTTCTTCATTCATTACAATAGATTGATTTTTACACTATTCACATCACCATTTGCATTTCTTTGATATTTTTTGTACAACGTAAATATACTACGTATTGTATTATTTAGAATATGGTTAAATTGGTCTCAATATTATATTTTCATGATTTTAAATTTTTATACATAGTACTGAAACACCACTTTTGACACTAATGTATCTCATAGACACAAAAACAACTTCACATCGTCTATGAGTGTCTTCGAAATGCATTGGTGTCTGAAGTAGTGTACCTCTTGCATTTTTGTAAATTTTTATGCTTAAATATGTTAATGATAAAAAGAGTGCATCAGCAAATGCAAAAGTCAAACAATGCAATGAATATATAGTATTATACTCTTCAAAACTAATTCAAACCACACATTTTTCACTTCTCAATAATTATTTGTCTTTGTGAAGTCAAAGTGAAAAAATACTTGTGAGAGAGATAGAGTATGTAAATGGATTTTTATGAAGGCAAAGAATATGAACTCCATTGGAAAAGAATATGAAGGCAAATTAATCAATATATCAGCTGATCAGATTCTGAACTAAGAGGTAAGCACAACCATCAAAATATTGCAAGGCTGCTACTATTTGGCCACAAAACTATGTCCACATTGCTAAATAGAATTATCTTTGCCTGCTACTGAAGCAAACATCATTTTTGTAAACAATAAAATAATGCTAGTGTAACTTCAATCTTCTTGAATCATTACTCTCCGGTTGGAGACGGTCACAATTTCGCCTGAAAAATCCCGGAGTTTTTTAGCTCGACCCACTTGTACTAGATGTATGAACTCAATGTATCATTTAAAAAATATTGCATGTATTCTTGAGCAATTTTATTGCCAGAGCCTGCTGCAGAAATCTCCCTTAGCCCTTTTGCTGGAAATGATTTCTGAAAAAGAATGGACTAACTGTCCAGCTAAGCTACTTGGATCATCAATTAGAGTCTGAATATAGGTATTGACAACCCTGCGTTCTCGCTCTGTTGATCTCAAGCTAAACCAAGAAAGGAACTTTAACCTGAACTCATTCTTAACGTGACCCTCGCATTCCAGCCAACGAACGGTTTTCACACAGTGCTCAAAGTTCTCGTCCAACAGCCCAGAAGAACTGTTATTGGGTACCCGGATTGGAGACCCACTGCTTACCAGTACACTGTCGGAGTCATGTGCTTCACAGTTGGTGCTCCCAGCCCTCTTCCTACTCTCCCCAGGGTGGGCCCATTCTTGCCGAGAAATGCAATTCCCATCATTGTCCTTAGAAACTGCATCTTCCACTAAATCAGCGGTTGGTTGATCTCGAGATGATGCAGGGGTTATTAACTGGCTCAACTCTTCATTCAAATCAGGAATTATAGCAACATTCAAGTCAAGCTGGCAAGAAGAAGGGTTACTATGGTCTTCTTCTACAGTATTCTCTTCCGAGTGGTTTCCAGCAACAGAGCTCAGATTACTATGACTTATCTCAACACTCTTTGTGAAACAATTGGCCTCAGTGTGTCCCAAGTCGCCAGACTCTGTGTAGGACACAATCCTAAAGCAGTACTCAGTGGAAGAATGCAAATTAGATATCAAAATGCTTTTTTGGCTTTTCGGAATGACACAATTTGGGTCTTTGCGGTAAGTGTCTACTCCAGCCCTACAGTACCAGAGTTTGTGACCTCTCACATCTACTGATGATGCAGTCAGTAGGTCTAACAATACAATTACAACAGAAGAAACTGTCACTTCTTCAAAAAAAAATTTGCAGGCTGCCAGCATCGAACCTTCTGGTTAAAAACAACAAAGAAAAAATCATCAGATAAAACTTAGCATCGACTAATCTTTTACTAAATTTTACAATGATGGCTTTTTTAGGACTCGCATCTTTGGTGTGTGGAGTCACTGGAGTATCATAGGGTTTATTTTGCTAAATATTTCTTATCACAGGATTTATATAGCTAAATTTTGAAACGTAGGGTTTAATCAGCTTATTCGACAAAAGACAAGGTTATTTTTTGCATTTCATCCTTTTAAAAAGTGAAAGTATTATGCTTCATTAAAAATTTATTGTATATTAATATATATGTATAACACCAATAATGCACAACATTTTTTAATTACAAGCAAAACAAGTTAAGATAAAAAAGAAATCAAGATAAAAGATCACCCGTTAAATTTACCCAAATTGGGAGTGTGAGATATTCCTTATGTCCCTTAAGTGTCAATTTTTTAATTACATTTTTTATGTCCCATAACACTTGCCAAATCCTATTTGGAATTACTCTATATCCCTATTTATTGCAACCTAGAAATTGTGTATTGTTCCAACAATTATCATTAATTAATAGCAAATGAAACAGCCTTCATTTGCCATTTTTTTCTTATCGTGCTATGTGTTTTCTGTGGTACTGGAGATGGGGGTCTTGGAAACAGCCTCTCTGCTTTCTAGTAGGGGTAAGGTCTGCGTACACACACCCTCCCCAGACCCTACTTTTGTGGGACTGAACTGGGTTGTTGTTGTTGTAATAGCCAATGAAAATATTAGATGATGATTCCCAATAGTAAATGTATAAGTTCCAACACATACTAATGGGAGACAATAAATGGTGTCTCCATTATTATATTCTTTTAAAAAATTTCAGGAATGGAGAGAGTATGACTTTGGAGAATTCTGCACAATATGTATTATAGAAAAGAAATTGTAATTAAATTTTAGCCTATTTTCAGTGTGTTTACTTAAAAGGGTTGAACTCATGGCATACTTGTCAAAATGAGAGACCACGGCCGCAATATCCAATCCAACTCCCAATAAACATATAGCAAGCTAATTGTTTTTTAGAAATCAAAAAGTACCTTTATAATTAGGCACAGAACTATGTTTTTTGGCAAGCCAGTCATCAGCTTTTGCAATGGCAAGAGAGCAGAGAGATTGCACAGCACCGGAAACAGTAAGTCTACTAACAACGCCTCGAGCCATCATGGAAGAAATGCCATTCAAAGGACCCACCTCTTTTTCTAGTATTGTCTTAGCCTCTTTAACAATATTGTGTAGCTCATGAAATCTTGAAGTCCCATCTAGGAGCCTGTAGCTCAAGTATATTCTAAAGCAGAGGATATCAGCCCGATGAGCATCTTTTGCTATAGAAAGTTGCTGCTTCCAAATACTGTCAGGTTTGAAAGCAACAGAATAAAAGCTCAAAACATATCACAAGAAATATAATCTAGAGTTCAGACTTTCAAAGAAAACTTTGAATTTTGATTCATGCAGTAATACCCAGGTAAGTTTCTCAGAAGAATAATAACATGAACTCATGCGTGTGTATCATCCACAACGAGACATGATCAGACTTCAGCCAGATGAAATTCCCTTTGTGTTAGTCCTCTACTCCTAAATACCAGTGAGTACCCCATAAAATACTTCAAGACTCTTAAGTCACACCTAACCACTAGTTCATAACATTATGGGGAAACTAAATCCATTCTTATAAAATCATATGCTGTGGGGATTGTCTTGTGAGTTCTCTGTACGAAAAACATTCTTTTTTTAAAAGCTTTCATGTCCTAAAAAGAGTCTTATTTCAAATGAAGCTTATGTTTCTTGTAAATGGCCAAGACATAGGTTACACACAAATCCATGATAAATTTAGTAAAATCAAGAAATAAATTTTAAAAAGACAAGTAGGATTCCATGACTGTTAAGAGTTGAACATTGTTAAGAATCTAAGATTTAAAAATTGTACCTTGACCAAACATATCTTTTGTTTTTGGAATGGAGAGAGTAATAAACAATTAAGCATTATGGTGCACAATCAAGAAGGGCTAAGATGAAACAATTATCATCTTGAACTAAATTGAAACAATATAAGAATGATGAATAGCTTCGGCAGGAAGTGATATCTTCAATTTCTTTGCTTTAAAGACATGATCTATTCATCCTCTGTGCTGTATTTTAGTACATATGCTCAGATGACTTCATTGTCTTTTTTTTACAATAGGTCAATGGAGGAAGGGGGGAAAAGGAATATATAATAGATAGACTTACCCTAATATTTCTGAAACGTTACCACAAAAAGCACAGCAGTAGCTCCCATCTAGCTGCATTAGCTGTCCAAGATCAACAACGCCCACCTTCCCTTGTTTGAGGGCACACTCAATGTGGCAAGTTAAGCCACAGGATTCCCCTTCACCAGGCACTGGTATGCATTCCAACCAAAGACTTGGATCCTTATTATCATCAAACAAGTGACAGATACAGCAAGAGCAACTCTTGCAGAATTTTTCATCCATTGAAATACTTGCTAGACATGCAGAATTCCTGCAGATCCATGACTGTGGGCACTTAAAATTGACACCTTGGTTGGTAGGCGGTGGTATTCGGAGAGGATTTCCCCCCTTTCTATGGTGCTTTCTTGAAGGATGTTCTCTAGAGCTAGGGGATGTTTTATTTAGCTCCTGACTCTTCAATATTTTCTTGCTTAACTTTAAATGTTGTTCCGACATTTTGGACTTGAATTGAAAGAAGCTGGTTTCCTACTGCGACCCTTCCAGAAAATTTTAGTGATATTTGACTTCTTACTGGATCACTTCAATTATGAACTTCCTCGGGTTTGTTTCTCAGCATCTGAAACAGAAGTGCAACATGTTACAAACAGCTTAACATATTAGTTCAACCCAGGCAATCCACATGACACTCACAAAACCAACATTAACACAATTGGACATACTATCATTCGATGATGTGTTGAATGCTGATACATGACACTATGACAGGGATTTTACATGAAGAATAACTTATTGGAAAAGTGGAAAACTATTGCATTTGAAATGGTTATGTAATGCTTTTCAAAAATGAAAAAAAGGTTATGTAATTAGCTTTGACCACAAAATAAGAAGTCCTAGAGAAATGCGTAATGTTGCCATTCAAGACAACTGAATCTACCCTCAAGCTTTTCTCCATGCATTAGCTCATATTACTGCATTCGTTCATACTTTTAGCATTAGGAATTAAAGGACAATGTATTCAATTTAAACGGCCTTTTTGTTCTGTTCTGGTATACACCAACAACAAACTGCCCAGTGCAGTCCCACAAATAGGGTCTAAGGAGTGGGTGTACGCAGACTACCTATAAAGGTAGATAACATGTTTCAAAATGACCCCGACAAGAACATGTACACTTCTTATATGATAGAATTCTAGTATTTTATTTAGTTTTTTGGATTTAAAATTTCACATAAATTTAAAGACTTCCATAAGCTTTTTATACTATAAAAACTTTATAAAAGTCATCATATTATTATGAGTTGAATACATTCTTACAAGTTTTTCTTAGTATTTTATCATTTATCTATCAAGAGCTTTTAAAATATACCAGTATCATTTTACCCCAAATAAAATTAAATATTAATTTTATACAATTAATTGACACTATAAATTTAATGCAACTGACACCAACTAGTTGGAGTGAGGTGCTGATAAAGATGCTGATGAAATAAGCTACAGAGTAATATATTTGATAGAAATTAGGGCAGCATTGGAGTCTGTCAACTAATCTATATGAAAGGTGGACCAAATCAAACTAAAAATTAAATTCAATTAATGGGCTAATTCAATCCAAGATCTAACTAACTCGCCATTCTCTCTTTAATTTCCTGGGGAGGGAAACTAATATTCTTCTTCAAGTGAAAAGCCAGACCATTTTAAACGGAATCTTTTCCCTCTAAAATGCACGCTTGAAATGCAACAACAATATCCAAAGGATCACAGGTCGCATGCCATTGGTACTGGTCTTCTAGATAGACAAACGAGTTAAATGAGTTACAAGTTGATGGGGATTAACTTCTAGATGGACAGCTGGGTTAACCAGTCACAGGTCGTTGGGAATTTGGGATGCAGTTCATGATAGGCATATGGATAAACAAAATGGGAGTATGAGACAATATGCTCTGAAAGATTGAAACTATGATAAAATTAAGATTGGGTCGGGGTCACTCGAATGAGTTATAGGACATTTGAGCAAAACAACACTACAAATTTAATCCAATCAATTAGCTCATTCAATATAAATTTTTATTAACCCATCATTCTCTCTTTAGTAGTCCGACGCGGGACTAACAATATGATAGTTGAAAAAGCATATGCATGGATACAATTATGATGAAAAAAATTTGAAAAATGATATATGAAGCTGAGGGGATACAGATTGTTAAAGCAATACAAGAAATTATTCAAAGAGGGGAGCTGAATACATTGTAGTCACGTTCAAGATAAATTCTTTAAAAGTGGATAAATATCAAGGAGTAAATTAATAACTTAATACTGCCTGATCCGGGTGGAATAATTCACGAAGGTCTCTTAAGAACATGAAGCAAACCCTGAATAAAAAACCATGAGATATAAAGTATGTTAGGTATAAATAGATCTTGGAAAAAAAATATCAAGTGAAACATCAGGTAGGTCATTTGTACTTCAGTAAATACAAAGGCTCCATGATCATGGCATGTGAGATCAAGAAAAGTTGACTGGATTAACTGGGGAGAACAAACCCTACATGTGTGTTGTGTTTAGGAAAAGACAACCTAAAATGATCAATCTGCCTAGAGTATCAGAGACCATCATCTGGTTATTCATATCAGAGTGCACCTACCAAAATAGTGGCATTTCGTCTATATGCAATGAACCAATCAACACACACCCATATTGTCTTGGCTGGATGAAAATCCAAGTTCACATCATATTGGGCTGGTTTCCTTGAAAAGCGACCCACCAAAACAACACCATAATTATTATAATGAAATAAGATCAACAACTTAGGAGATACTAATTGCCTGAAATCATACAAAAACCCACAAAAAGGAAACAAACATCAAAAGGGAAAAGCCAAAAAGGAAAAGGAAATTTCTTGATTTACAATAGCACAAAAGTATGTTGATATCTTAAATACACTTATACATACTCAGAAGCTTTAATGAAATATCTATTATCTTCAGTATTTAATTCCACACGTTTATTTGGAAAGATTAATGTAGCAAACAACAAGATAGAATACACAAATCTAAACTTTCTAAACTTTTGAGCATGAAATAGCAGTCCGAACTGTATTTGGAAAGAAGAATAAGTATTGAACTACATACCATTTACATCTTGATTCGTTTACTAAAAAGAAATGAGAAACTGAAATCCTGATATGCCAGCAATAATGCAATATGCTGCTTTCAGAATAAAAATAAAGCCTATTAAATTTCAAATATTTTGGTATCCCTGTATATTTAATAAGTTACTGAGTGACTTCTGATTTCTATATCTAAAAAACTACAGCAACAGTATCCCATTTGGAGAGCAAAGTTTAGCGTTATGATCCCATACTTCTTTCTGAGCATTGGATTTGGTGTGCTAGCAAAATAATCAATCATTAAACATTAGATTATGGACTCAAACCTTGGAAATAAAAACGAGGAGCCCACAAGACATATTTAAGTTGCATATTGTTAACACCTTGCACACTGCATTAGAACTATTTATTGTGATTTTAGGTTATTGGAATCTAATTTTTACTTGCTTGTAAGGTAATCTTCATCATTACTGATCTTTTAACGTTATGGAGGAAATGCATGGCACAGATATAATATAACCTTTCCCCATGATAAAATACTCATTCAGCCCCTAAATAAATTTCACCTTTGCTTTTAGCATGAATTTCAGGGTAGCGGATTTGTGTGGTTGAGATTTAATTATAAACTAAATGAAAATACCAACCACATACTCTTTTTCTTACAATTAAAGATGAAGTTTGCTTAGGGACATCCAAGAAAAGTAGAAGTGAAGTTTATGAAACGAGAGAGAAGGAAAGAAGAAATATATTCTAAATTACTAAGGGAATATTAAAGACGCTGGCAAAAAGAAGTAATAAATTTAACATTTAAACCTTCTTTATCAACCATTCAACTCCAAATTTATAATAATACCTAACAAAAAGACTGCTGGATGGACACTCTACGAAGACTTTGCATGACACAACTCATGGTTTTATAACCATATAGATAGACAGACATTCTTAAGTCTCTTTCCTGCACAACAAAAAAAATTTTGTAACCATCAAGAATTTTAAGTATAACTTAAAAAATGGAAATTCGCGAAAAAGCAACCAAAATGAATTAGTATTAGGAAAGAATAGACACTGATTAGCGTGGTATATCATTAAACAAAAAAATCATTTCTAACAGTTGCAATTTAGGCAAGAAAAACTACGCAAATTCTCTTTGACATAAGAAATCAAAAGAGAAGGTAAAGCAATAGGGGCAACAATCTTGGTTCTCTCTGTTTTAGGAAAGAGATCTACTATGGTCACTCTGCCGGGGGTGGGGGTAGTTGGAGAAGCCCATACGTCTTCACACCAAAAATCAGCAGCTAGATATCTTACTATAATGCCATATGAATCCACAGACTTGAAGGAACAATGTGGAGAATCCAGAACACTTTAAATCATTGATTGGAATATCAACGTAAATGTGGCTCAAAAAAGACCAACACCGGTGATACAGCTCTTATTCCAATTTATAAGTTCAAATTAAGAGGCAAAAGCACCTCCGAGGGATCATCTAGTTAGCATATCATTATGCTTTCAAAATTATATATTTGGCATAATCATCCAGTACAGAAATATATAACAGGATTCCCACTTTCCAAGGCACACTGGTGCAACAACTTAAATAATTTTCATTAATGAATCATTTAATCAACAGTTACAAAAGAGCCCTTCAAACCTTCGTAAATTTGCACAATTAGCATATTAAGTAAAAAACAAAACGGTAAAGAGTAAAAATTGAAAAAGAATCCTTCTTTTGTATTTCTTACTTCTTCATTGAAGGAAAGAAGTGTGCGCAGTCTAAGGTGATGTTACATTGTGCACGTACCTTCATTTACTTACACCCTTGGTATGTTGCACAAATAAGGGCACCTCACTAGGATGTCTAAAAAACACAAATGAAAATGAAAAAACGTGTACACACCTAGGTGTTTGTGTGTTTCCGAATATGATACAACCACTCAAAACTTAATTTCAATACGAAATTTAAATCAATCAGCTGCATTCTAGAATTTATTCTTCACCCAACTCCATTAAAATTCAAAGCAAGCTCATCCATCTCAGGCCCACATCCCATTCAACCCAACCAAGAACACTCACAATAAATACACAAACAGAGCATATTATAAACGCATTAATATAAATAAATCCACATACTCCCTCTCTGTCTCAAAAAAACCACACATTAGTTTTTTGTTTGTTCCAAAAAAAATGAAATTCACTTTCCTTTTAGAGAGAGAATAACAAAGTTTACATTATTTCTGGCACGGCAGCTCATAAATATTAATCACACAATATACTTTCATAATTTCATCTTTTATAATACTCCGTAACTCATAATAACTGTGTTGTGGAACCTAATCAGAGCAGAAAAGCTAAAAATTACCTGATTGAGAGCGAGAAACGGAACAGAGAGAATTTGGTTAGGGTTTGGGCGAGGTAGAAAGATGAAAGAAAGAAATTGATGCGGTTAAAACGGAAAATCAATCATTCCATTCCTTCACTCGCAATTACTATGCCGTCGCAGAATTGCTTCATGAAATCTTCTTTTAAGCTCCGATGTGATCGCCGAACAATGCAGCGCCGGTGACCGGTACGTTACAGAAGAGGCTCCATCGGTGGCTTATTCCGAGCTTCTGGTGGTGCGAAGGAGCCTATACTCTCCGGCTCTTCTCCGGACTCCGGAGTCATTTAAAATTTTCAAACAAACAAAAAACGGCTTTTCGTTGAAACAAGAACATGCCATTTTCTTGTCAAATTAAAAAGCATATGTTAAGAAAAATATGAATTGTTCATTTATCAATTAATTAGGTCATGCTCCATTATAAGTTGGAGGAATAAATTGTCCATCATCACTCATCACCATCAAGCTGTCATTTGTATAGTATGTATATTATTTGTAATAATGTTAGCACTAAGCCTCTCTACTATAAATAAGAGGCTTAGGATCCCTGTAAATTACCATTAAGAATAAGAAGAAGAGTGAAGAGTTAATAGAGAGAAGAAATCAGAAATATATTATATCTATTCTCATAATCTTTGAGTAGTTTTTCTCTCATTTTATAACACGTTATCAGCACGAATTTGCTCAAAATCCCAGAATCCTTGTTCTTCTCAGAAGGTATATTTATTTAATTTTCTTCATAAACAAACCAAAATATTTTCTTAAAACTATGAGAAGTATGCTCTGTGATTGCCCAAAGTTGGGATCCTTCACATCAGAAACTTATAGTTATAAAAAAATAAAATAAAATTAGATAATTAAAAGGAAGAAATTTCCTCATAATCCTAGAAAATCATATTTTTGATAAACTGGAATAAATAATAGAACTTAATATTGAGTAGCTATGATTGAAAAATAAAACATAACTTTATCTTTTAAACTAGTCTTAAAATATAAGATGTGAAAGAAAATATATGTAATTTAGCTAAAAACCGAACATAGAAGACTTACGGAGTAATTTAATTTTTTATATAGCAAGTTTGGTTTTGCTCTGCCTCTAATTTTTCTGATATTCTGATGCTCCCTTGGACCATATTTTTTATTTTCGTATGGCTAAGTAAGAGAATGAGAGAATAAAGAGAGAGTAAGTGATAAGATCTTACGCAGAAAGGGCTAATATAGAGAATTCAAATTTATCATTTTTATTTCGATGTGATTTATTTTATTACCCTTGTTTTTTTTGCTTTGTATTTGATAAATGGAATCTTCTGAGCAAACATTTTTGATGTTCTTCACATGGACTACTCATACATATTTTGTCTTGTTGTCTATTGCATTATAGTCAAAAGATTCTTTTAAAATAAGGGATAAAACATTACGGAGTAAATAAATTATGACTTTATGAAAATTGCATATACTACGTTTTAAAAAAAAAAATCATTCTCCTAGCTTTGATTAGAGATTCCTATGTGTTTTAAATAATAATAAATTTAATTTATCTTGTAGTTATTTCATGACCAACATCACCAAAAGAGAATTCGACATTCTTGATTTATCTGGTCAAAGGTACCTGGAATGGAGGGTTGATGCACTTGCTCACCTTAAGGCTAATGGCCTCGAAAATACAATTGCTGAGAATAATACATCATCATCTCAGCAAAAGACAAAAGCTATAATTTTCCTTCGCCACCACCTTCATGAAAGTTTAAAATCTGAATATGTATTGGTGGAAGATCCGAAGGAATTATGGGATAATCTCCAAGAGAGATACGGACATCAACAAAAGGTCCTATTGCCAAGAGCTCAATATGAATGGATCAATTTAAGATTCCAAGATTTCAAATCTGTTTGTGACTATAATTCTACTATTTTTAAAGTCACGTCCACATTAAAATTATGTGGACATAATATCACTGACCATGACATGTTGGAGAAAACTTTTTCCACCATGCATATGTCAAATGTGATATTACAGCAGCAATACAGAGAAAGGGGCTTTAAAAAGTATTCTGAGTTAATCTCAGTATTACTTGTTGCTGAGCAGAATAATGAGCTCTTAATGAAAAATCATAACATGAGGCCCACCGGTTGTAGCCCTACAAATTCTGGTCATCCTGATCGTGGTTGAGCACCAGAATCAAATGTTATCCAAGGTGGTGCTCGCGGACACTTTAAACGTGGACGCGGAAATAACCGCAACAAAGGGCCGAACAGGGGCTATAAAAATCCAAATGGATCATCTTCCAAAGGAAAATGAAAATTCAAACCACCACAGGCTAAAACTTATGAAAAGCCAAAACCAAGTGGTGAATGCTACAAATGTGGCATAAAAGGACACTGAGCAAATGAATGTCGAACAGCAAAACATTTGGTTAAATTATACCAGGCTTCCACAAAAGGAAAAGGGAAAAATGTGGAAGCTAATTATGCTGATGATATCAATCCAATTTTGCCTAAATTTGACGTGTTCGATTTCTACATGGATGATGCTGAAATTGGTGATGAAGTGACCTTTGGTGGAACTACTACTATTTAAACATTTTCATTTACTCCGTTATGGTGTGTTTACTTTTTAAATAAATGTTGGAAATTTGTATATTATTTTCATGTGTGCTTGTATTATTGTGTCCCTTCTAAAAAAAGTAATGATAATAAAATGTATGATATTTGTGTTAATTATCTTTAACTTTTATTTATTTATATATTTATTTGTATTCAAGATATGGAGATAACTGCTTATGGCTCCAGTGGCAAAGAACAATGTCTAATTGACAGTGCCACAACGCACACCATTTTGAGAAACAAAAAATATTTTTCTCAAATGACATTGATGGAAACTAATGTCAATACAATCTCTGGTGTTGCGAAGCTCATTGAAGGGTCTGGAGTAGCTTGTTTAATCCTTCCCCAAGGAACAAAATTAATTATCAAAGACGCATTATATTCCAGCAAATCCCGAAAGAATTTATTGAGCTTTAAAGATATGCGTCAAAATGGTTATCACATTGAAACCAAGACAGAAAATCAAAAGGAATACTTGTATCTAACGACAACCAAATCTGGCAATAAAATTCTTTGTGAAAAGATGCCAGCGTATTCCTCGGGGCTATATTATACTCACATTAGTCCCGTTGAAGTGAATGTTATCTCTAATAAAAAATTAGATGATCAGAAAACATTCATTTTGTGGCATGACCGTTTGGGTCATCCTGGCAGTGTAATGATGCACAAAATAATTCAAAATTCACTTGGACATCCATTGAAAAATATAAGGATTCCAAGATCAATTGATTTTCCATGTGTTGCCTGCTCTCTTGGGAAGATGATTGCCAGGCCATCTCTAAATAAAATTGGAGTTGAATCTCTTGCATTTTTAGAAAGAATTCAAGGAGATATTTGTGGGCCAATTGCCCCAACATGTGGACCATTTCGTTATTTTATGGTGTTGATCGACGCATCAACACGTTGGTCACATGTTAGTCTTTTATCTACAAAAAATTTTGCATTTGCAAAACTCCTTGCTCAAATCATACGTTTGAGAGCTCAATTTCCGGATTATTCAATAAAGAAAATCCGACTTGATAATGCAGGAGAATTTACATCCCAATCATTTAATGACTATTGCATGTCTATTGGGATTGATGTGGAGCATCCAGTTGCTCATGTGCACACTCAAAATGGTCTTGCTGAGTCTTTAATAAAGCG